ACATCAGAAGCGAAAAAAGTAAAGGCTGACGCGGAGGCAATCGTGGGCGTCTACCGAGCTGATGCTGAAGATGCTCAAGCTCGAGCAAGGGAAGTTTCTAAAACCGCGCAGACTCGATCATACTGGCTGCCGAGTATGCCAAGTACCAGTATCGAAGAGAGAATCTCGAGGAGATTCATGCTCATGGCTTTAACCTTACTGTCGAGATCGAGAATGAGAAAGAGCTTGAGGCCGAATCCAAAGAATTACTCTCTTCTGATGATGATGATTCCGGGAGCGCGAGTGGATCCCGATGACGAAGACGCAGCTCCCGAGGAAAATTAGGCACTTGGGATTTTTCTTTTTTGAATTTTTGTGTAGGATCCTAATCAGTCCTTATAAATATTTTTATATAATATTTCCTTTATTATCTCGACTTTTGCCTTGTGAAAATTCTGATTTGCTTTTTTCTTTATGACAATTTTGATACACTTTATGCCTTGTAAGAATTTTGACTCACTTCATGCCTTGTGAAAATTTTATTCGTGAATCCGAAACTTAGGCAACTTGATCGAAGTCAGACTAATATAGTCTCTATAGTCGAGTGAGTACTTGCTCGAACTCGAAGTAGAAAAACCCTTAGGTTTTAGTTAAGTGAGGGTGAATTCTCTAACTCAAAAAATATAACGGCCCTTTGGCTCTTGAATTGGGTCGATATGGCCGCAAAAGAGTGGCTTTTTTCCCTTTTCGTCTTAAAGAGTTTAATCATATAAAGATTTATCATGCCTTAGCACGAAGTAAATCTATACCCATTAAGTTTTTTTTGGGCAAGCAGGGGGGATAGTGTTATCGAAACCCTTTGCTTTTTTGTGCCTTTAGAACAATTTTGTTCAGTACTAAATCGTTCGAAGGTTCGAATAGTTCGATACCCCTTAGGGTTTTTCGAGGGTTGATGTTGTCGAAACCCTTTGGTTGTTCCGCCAAGAGTAGCCTTTTTAACCGGTTCATAAAAGTATTCGAAGGCATGTTTTCATTATGGAATTAGGACATCTCTGAACAGTTTTAGTTTGGTCGTAACCTTCGGATTTGCCTCTTGGGCATATTTTACCAATTACACTTCAAACTTATTCGAAGTGTCAGTCCTCGAGTGGGGTGGCCTTGGCCTAAAAAATCGAGGATTTTCTTTTTTTTCGAGCATTTCGATTTTTGGATGGCGTCCCCGAGTATGGGGTTGATTGTTCGAGATTTAGTTGCAATCGGCACTTGAGCCAGTTTTCGCAATAGATCATAAGTATGAAATTGTAAAGTAAATTTTCACTAAGGCATGGAACATCTGGTAAGGAAAAATACTTTTTTCAATAGATCATTCATGTGTAACATGTTTTGCCATTAGGGCTCGAGTAATCTACATTGACACGGTTCATTTGACCGTTTGTCCGTTTACAAAATTTACCTATCGAGACCCTGTTGACACGAAGTATTTTCCTTGAAAACATAACATCCGAGGGCGATATCCCCCAGTATTCGAGGTTGATTGTAAAGAAGCCTCGGAGTTGAATTGCTCTAAGTTAGTATGAACAATGGTTGCCTCATTAAAATCCTTGCCGGAAAAACTCATTTGGGATAAAAACCAGTCGAAGGAAAAAAAAGTGCAACGGGTGCTTTCAGACCTAAGGACTTCGTGTTTGGAGAGAACTTCGATGTCTTCGATCGAACACCTGCAACAAGTTAGTATAAATACGAATGAAAAAGGATAAAGTCATACCTTAGCAATAATATTGTTTGAGGAGTGATACGTTTCAATTATTTAGCAATTGTTTGCCGTTCATCGTGCCAAGTTTGTAAGATCCCTTTCCGATGATACCGAGGACCTGATACGGTCCTTCCCAATTTGGGACGAGTTTTACTTTGTTTGGGTCTCGAGTATTGATGGTGACTTTTCTAGGAACTAAGTCCCCGATTCAAAAGTCGCGAATATTGGCTCTTCGGTTGTAGTACATTTCGATGCGCTGCTTTTGTGCGGCCATTTGGATGAGGGCGGCTTACCACTTTTCATGTAGTAATTCGAGGCTTTGTATTCATAGCCTCGTGATTTGACTCTTCCATTGTGTATCGAAACCTGACGCTAAGTTCCCCGACCTCAACTGGGATCAGAGCTTCGACACCATATACTAAGGAGAACGGTGTTTCCCCCATACTGGATTTTGACATTGTTCGATACGCCCAAAGGACTTCAGGCAAAATTTCTCTCCATTTTCCCTTAGCGTTATTCAATATTTTCTTTAGATTTTGAATTATGGTCTTGTTTGTCGATTCGGCCTGTCCGTTCCCACTAGGATGATACGGCGTTGACATGATCCTTTTTATTTTGTGATCTTCGAGGAACTTTGTTATTTTGCTGTCGATGAATTGTTTTCCATTGTCGCATATTATCTCGGCGGGTATTCCGAATCGGCATATGATGTGATCCCAGATGAAGTCTATACCTTCTTTTTCTCTGAATTTCTCGAAAGCCTGTGCTTCAACCCACTTAGAGAAATAGTCAATCATAAATAAAATGAATTTAGCTTTACCTGGGGCCGATGGCAGAGGGCCAACGGTATCCATTCCTCATTTCATGAACGACAATAGGGATAGGACTGAATGAAGTTGCTCTCCAGGCTGGTGGATCATCGGTGCATATCTGTGGCACTTGTCGCATTTTCGAACGAATTCCTTAGTATCTTTTTCCATATTGGCCCAATAGTATCCTGCTCTGATGACGTTGTGAACCAGTGATTCGGCACCAGAATGAAAAATTGGATAACAATTAAACTTATAATGTGGTTTTAAGGACACGTGATTTTATCTAATACCAATTGATAAACGTAAAGATTAAAAATGAGATAAGGCAAGCCAGTGTTGAAACGTGATTCAGCCCTCGAGCTTAAATACCCTGGAACTGATCGATGCCCAAAATAGTTAAGAAACAAACCAACTGGTGAACATGAATATAAGCTAGAAAGTATTATATTACTTTGATATGCGTCAATGTAAGATGGTTACAAAATGATTAGGCCCCTCTTTATATAGTAGAAGAATCCTGTTTATGGTACAATTCTAAATACAGAAGTAAATCCCATGATTAACTAAATAACCATCCTTGATTTGATCTGTTCCGAGATTTACGCCATGATCTTCAGCCAGTCACGAATATCTCGCCTTTCTGTTATTGTGCTTTGCTCGATGTGTGTTTCATTTGGTCTCGATCGCTACTGGCCTCAATCTTCGATAGGTACCTCGGTCCTCGAACTCGGTGCCTTATCCTCGTACCTCGGTCTGATCCGTTGCGAAGCCGACCTTCGATGCAATTCCCTAGTCTCGATCAAATAGTAAAAACGGATAGACCAGATTTTAACCGTATACACTACTGGAACATAATTAATTTTTTTATTGCAAGTTAGTTGATTATTTAACTCACTAGATTATCTTAGAATTATAACTAATAATTTTCTTAGAATTATAACTAATAATTTATTATCTTTAGTTTTCGTCCTATTTTCTATATAATAATATAAACCTAGCTATATTTATCTGTAATATGACTAGTCTACTTTCCATTTTGTGACTATTTAGTATTCTATCAACTATAGCGGATGTAACAAAACATTAAATCTTCATATAGTGTAATTTCTTTTACGCTACCGGTGAATTATAACCCGTAACTTTATATTGGTTTTTAGTTTTTATCAGACTACATTTATCAAGAAATTTACCTAAAATTAGGTGACTTGATTTATAAATATTTTTTACAGCATATAACATAAACTCAGTGTGACTTTGGTCGGTCAACTATTATAAATATCAACTGTACTAATGATGGGAAATATCTATTGATCAATTTTCCGGAGCTAGTGGGTTTTGATATTATATCGAATAACTTTCACCGTTTTATTTGATTTATCATCACACATGGCGTTACTCGTTAGGATTTGAAAACAGATTCAGAAAAGACAAAAGAAAAGGTAAGATCTTGGTAATATTAATTAGGGGTGTACAAACACAACCAGAAAATGCACCAAACCAAAAAGTCAAATCAAATCGATTAAAAAATCCGATTAGGTTTGGGTTGATTTGGTTTGGTATTGAGTAAAAAACTCAAACCAAACCGATATATAAATATAAAAATTTTATATAGAGTTTTCTTTAAAAAATGTCTAAAAGTATTTGGGTTCGCGAGATGTAATATTTAATAGTATATAATGCTCCATATTTATTAACCTTAATAATGGATTGTATGATCATTTTCTTATCAAGTATTACTGAAATGCGTCAATCTCTTTGTTCTTCCATATTCATATCATATGTTAAGATCTATTAAATTCTTATGTTTTTTTCCGAATCTGAAGTGATTATTATTATTATTTAGGTATCATATTGATGTTTATGTTTAATTACTAAATTCGGTTAACCTTGAAAGTGTACATCAACGAAAAATTATTGTCAGACGACTAAAAAATAACTATTATGTATTACTAAGAAAATTCTCCCGTAAGAATATTTCAATAGATAATATTTGTCAATTTATTATATTTTTACTAAACATATAATTACTTATAAAAAATTTAACAAAGTAAGATGAAATAATATTTAAGTAACAAAAAATCCAAAAAACCCGATTAGACCGAACCCATCTAAACCGATATAGTTAATTTGGTTAGGTTTAAAACCGAACCAACCCGATCCATGTATACCCCTAATATTAATCATGATCCTCGACCTCATTCCCATAAATCGGAATACTTTCCTTAGTCCCTCGCTAGAAAGGAGATGAAAGACCACTTTCCGTGTCTTTTTCACTCGGTTGTAATAAAGTTTTACATTGCATAAAAAAGGAAAGCTTACTCGATGTTTACTATATATATATATATACTCATCATATCTTTCTCTTTATATATATAGCGAACAAACCTTTTCTCAAGTGCTGTGTTCTTGTTCATGATTTTGAGTAGTGTGGCTAATTAAGAGAAAATTAGCTAGCAATGGGCAGGAAGTGCACGTTGTGTGGTCGCAATGGGCATAACTACAGAACGTGCAGTGAGAAAAGCAAGACCATCAAATTGTTCGGTGTGAAGATCAGTACTAGTAGTAGTGCTATTTGTAAAAAAGACAATGGAAGAAAAATAAAGAAAGGAATTGCGTGGACAGAGGATGAACAAAGATTATTCTTGAAAGGATTGGAGATTCATGGGAAAGGTAAGTGGGCAAAGATTAGTAAAGATTTATTGCCAAGTAGAACACCAACACAAATTGCTAGTCATGCTCAAAAGTATTTTATGAGATTGGAATATGCTTCCAATGACAGAAAAAGTCGTAAGAAGCCAAGTGTTTTCGACGTTCATCTTCAAAAAACACAGGAGAGTATGAATCTTGAAGAAATCTCAGAAGAGACTATTGTTTCTGAGCATGATATAAAAATTGTTCCGTTGGAAAATCAAGATCAAGAAACTGCAAACTCTCAAGTGGTGACTCCAATTGCAACTAGTCAATCCATTCCCAATTATTACAATGTATTGCCTATTACTTGGGTTCATCATATGTATGATTATCCTGCTTTTTATGCCAGTGGAATTGATTCTGTTGCCTCTACGTCAGCCAGTGGTACAATGGACCAGCGACTTTCTGGAGTTTCATCACACTGGAGTCAATCTTCAAAGGATAATTTAGATCTAACATTAGCATAGTCAAGATAGAAAACTTACTCATGTTATTACTTTTAGCCCATTCATTTTTGAATTTCTTGTATGGCCACACAAGTGTTAATTTCCGTCTTATTTCTATTATTATTCCGTGTTTTATATTCTCCATATCTGTTGAATTTACCTCTATTCCATAGTTCAAAAGTTGCAATTAATTAACTAAAAATAGAAGGAAGCAAATTGCTTTTAATTAAGGCTTTCTAACATTTCTTGCCCCCACACAACCCCCCAAAAAAAGGTTTTCTAACATGCAGTTAGCTAGTCTAAGTAACTACGATACTAGCACAGGGCAAAGGTGTCAAAATGGTTAAAATAAAATAGTTATCCACTCATATTATTCATAATGGTATATTATTCATAATGGTTTGGATAATAAAGTTTTTAAAAATGGGTCGAATATAGATAAGAACCATATTATCCACTTAAAAAATGGTTAATTAAATAGATAACTAATGTGTTTAACTTTTACATTTGTAAAGCCTCAAATTGGGGTTCCTCAAGTTTGGAAGACTAGGAAGAAGCCATGGATAATATGGATATCCATATTATTCGCCGGATAACCCATTTTTTATCCGTCTCAAATACGGGCCGAGTCTGATAATTTATTAATTTTTTGAATTACCCATTTTCAACCCGCTCATATCCGACTCAACCCACCCATTTGCTAACCCTAACATAGAGTATAACTCAAACTGGGACTAAAAGGAGGAAATCCACAAGGGATATTCAATTCGCTAATCCCATTTCAAGGCATCAATCTCTTGAAAACGGATCAAAATTATTAGCTACACTTGTAAACTACCACAGAATTCTCAATTATCTAGCTAGATAATGCTAGCCCTTAAAAATTTCTTATAAATGTAATGTTATTAATCTAGCTAGTCTTCCCTAATCCCGGTTTATCCTGAGCTTGTCTAAGAACCAAACCTCTCCCCCTCTTTCTTTTTTCCCCCGACAAAGGGATATTTGGCATTTGACTTCTTAACTATGGGAAGCAAATAAAACATAATTTTATTCCTTATTTAGCAACGAAAGAATCTAAATTTACTGATTCAGAAACCCAATCGGATGTCAAACCAAATTCAAATCGAAATCCATGGAAGGCGAGGTGGGTTGAGAGGTAGAAGAAAGATAAGGTAAGTCTCTATAATTATTTATTATTGTTGATACAATTTAGAACTTCAGTCCACTTGCGAATTTGTTTGTGATAATTAAAGATGGACTTCATCTGGAGGAAATCTCAACTACTTAGGTTTAGTTTTGGAGCTTTCGCCTTTGTTTTTGGCTTTGATGAAGGTAAATAGTCAAAAAAAAAAAGTTCCTCGAAAATGCGAGCGTCTCTGTTCTCATTTAGTTTTCATGTATACTAAAAATAGTTATTCTCAAATACCGTTCACTTTTACTTAGCATATATACTAAAAATAAATTTTTATTTTTACTTGTCATTTTACGCATATTAAGAGAATACAAAAAAAATTCCTGTTATACCCACAGTATTTATTACTCATTTCAAATTATTTTTTCAAATCCAATAAAATATGCATTAATTAATATGAGTATCATAGTAAATTATGCACTTCATTTATTATTTCTTAAGACACGTGAAAAATCAAAACGTGTCAAGTAAAAGCGAACGGAGTAGTACTTGTCAATTTAAAAGATCAAGAAAGAATTAATTATTTTTTTACTAATTTTGTCCTTAGCATTAATTTTCTAGAATTAATATGCACCTAAATAGATTAAATTAAAGAATTAATAAGGTTTAGATTAATCAAATTCAATAACTAAGTATTTTTTTCTTAAAGGTTGTGCAAAACTTTATAATTAAATAGGAACGGAAGGAATAGTAAAACTGTATATCATGTACATACCGTATTGTACCTTCGAGCTTTTCTATATTTACAAAACAAAAAGTAAATACAACAACAATAATTATTCCTGCAAGTTTACAACCAAAAGAAGACGCAACTATTGGAACAGCCATATAAAGAAACATAGAGTCTTCGTTCTTTGAAAAGAACAAGTTGGATATTTTTGGAGCAAAATTTACTTCAATAAATGTTACTTAAATAACTTCTAGTATTTTTTATTTTACATTTTCTCATGTCAAATCAACACAATTTGTCAACTGATCTCCCCACCACACACAACATCGTATATCAGATGGATATTGTTGGGCAAAAAGAAAAAGAGTAGGAGTAATGATTTCTTACTTTTATTATCACCAAACACTGCGTTAAATGCTGGCCTCGCCGTCTCCGGCGATGATTCCTCTGACTCCTCCAAAATCCTTACAATCCTCACTTTTACCAACTCTCCAACCTCGCCTCCGCAAAAAGCTAAATCTGAGAAATGGAACTAATTGCAGGTGCAGGGCAGAGTTTGCAAATAACGACGCTACTATTGCCGTGGCTATCGGTGTCTGCGTTCTCAGCTCGTTGGTTTTCCCGAGTCCGACTACTTACTCGGAGCCGGATGACGATGACGGTGAGTCCGTGATTGATTCTGGTGATGCGAGGTTTACTGTGATGGCAATTATCAGCTTAATTCCGTATTTTAATTGGTTGAGTTGGGTTTTCGTGTGGTTGGATACTGGGAAACTGCGTTATGCTATTTTTGCTCTTGTGTATTTGGCTCCATATGTAAGATCCAATCTCTCTTTATCTCCTGAAGATAGCTGGCTACCAATTGTTAGCATCCTCTTGTGCATCTTCCACGTTCAGGCCGATACATATGAGCAAAAAAACTTATTGCCTCCACCACAGGAGGAAAAGATAAGCAGGTCCATAATTCCCACAAGGCCGCCGCCCGACTTGAATGAAGATGGAGATGATCATACTCCTCTTTAAGACTCAGTTTAAGTACTATGATATGATATTCAAATTGCAAGTAAGATTACTAATTCTAGCAACCAATCTACAATAGTAATAGTGCAGATCTTGATCTTGATCGAGAATCGAGCACCTTTTGTTTTCATCACTTTTGCTAGTCATTCTTTGAATCGCACATTTCTCTAAAGCGCATGTCTTTACCTCACTTGAGATGGAAAAAAATTGCTAATTCTGGCAAAGCATCAACACTAAAAACCAGACATTTGGCCAGCATTTATATAAAGACAACTTTTGTTCCATGTATGCTCTTACACCATAATTTGGGTAAGAATACGTGGTATTCAGACATAAACGGTAATCTCCCCTCCTTTTTTTCCAATACTGAAGCTCAAGTAAACTCTTTACGTTAATCACCACAAGTGAGCATAATCTCACTTAGCAAAAGAAAGGCTTGTGTTTATTTTCACGTTTCCTCGTATAAATTGCCTGCAAAAATCAACACATAGTTCAAATGCATATAGCGGTATGAAATGGTGTGCTTTTGTTTATTGTTTAATGAATTGTTTGAAGGAACAATGAAAGCAAAGCGGCAAATCCACCTCTGCTGCAATAATCAACAAGGTTCTGAAGTGGCAGATCAATTGCTAAGTGATTTAGCATCAGTGGGAGACTTCGAGCGATTAATAAATCCATCAGCTGCACATACTGTGAAGAGTGAGAACCAGGAGCAGCGGAAAGTGAGAAAAACAGCCTTGCTCTGTGGGGGCTTTAGACACAGCGCAAATAAATATGGGCTGTAATGAAGAAAGGCGTAAATGAAGGAACAATATAATATATATATGTAATTCAAGAATAATAACTATTAACACAAACAACGTATGGACGAAGGAATTGAAAAACTTGCAATTAAGTAAAATAGTTATTGTTCAGTGCCCGCAATATTCAAGACAAAGCCCATGGCAAGGAGGTACACACCTTAGTGCCTTGGTGCCTGCACTGAAGCGCTACCTAAGCAAGAATTCATCAACTTGTTTTGCACCTAGCTTCAGGGATTAAATGCGATCCTTTGACAGCACTGGCGAGGAGTCTTTTGCTAAAACAACATAAACATAAGGCATTCAGGAACCACAGGAAAAAAGAAGGAAAAATATCGAGCAACAACTAACAAAACAGAATGGGGAGTGTGATATACTTCAAACTGACCAATGCCACGACCAAAAGCATTAACTCATTATTAATGTGCAATAAAGCTTGTGACTGAAAGTACATCATCTACGGCCAATAAGCACCGCCTAGCTCCAAAACACCCTGCCAGTGGCAAAGAGGCTCGGTAGAAGATCCATGCTAGCTCCTTTAGTAAGCACCATCACCAACTCCACAATCTTGCACCTTCACAAGATTCATCAAAAGATTGACAGTACGTATACATGCCGCAAATGCCACTTTCTGCTGAAAATGGAAGAGTGGCAGATTAATTTATACAGCCACAACAATTCAAATGCTTTCGCTGAAACGGCATTTAGCAGCAGAAATGACAGCATGAGGTTAGAGGTGTTCAAACTGGCTACATACTAAGCATGCTAAGTAGAATGATGATACAACTACACAGGAATAAGATGCAAGAAGCAAAGTGTAAATAATCTTATCACGGTCAAAATAAATCTAAAGATGAAGAAAGTCAATCTTAAGATCATCCACATAACCGAGTCACCAGCAAAATAATTTAACACAAAGCAATGATTTCATATCCAGCTGGGTAAGAGGGTTGTGCCTCTTGCATCAGAACAAAAACCACTTGAAATGCTAAGAAATGAGAAAACCATTGTCCACCTAAAGGGTATCAGCTATATCAAACATCTCATTTGCGGTCTAGTTAAAGCCCTGATGGACCACAGCCTCCTCCTGAAAGGATACAGGGCATAAAAAAGATGGGACCCTAAAAATGATCCACAAAAAAGAATCTTACTTAAAAAAATGAAACCTTGTTCATAACATTTATCAAGAAATATGACTATGCGTCATTAACAATGAGACCACTCATCCGATATACAAGTACATGATTTAGCATTATAGTATAAGCACTTGTGTTTGAATTCCAAGACTACAATATGCTACATTCTGATGAGCTATATCTCCCAGGAAGGATAACAGAAGCAAGTACAGTTTAATTCTGATTTACCCATTGCTACAGGAAAAGAATTAGCCAATTACCTGAAAGCCTAAAGAAGGGCAGGCATGGAAATTCAGGAAAAGAATTGAAGCCTACAACAACAACAACAACAACAACGACCCAGTATAATCCCACAAGTGGGGTCTGGGGAGGGTAATATGTACGCAGACCTTACTCCTACCCCGAAGGGGAAAGAGGCTGTTTCCAGGAGACCCTCGGCTCAAAAAAAAGCAACAGGAGCCGATATATTAGTACCATAAAAATGCATAATAAAATAACAGCAATATAAGAGATACGAAATACAGAATACGAAATACGAAATAGATGGCTGGTATAGTAAAACTAGCAGGTAAAGCCCTGCATCAATAGACGACCAATGACATTCTTAGTCTAACTCCTAACTGGCTAGTCTCACTCTATTGTGCTGTAGAAATATTCACAACTTTCCCCTAACCTACAACCTTAATGCTCGACCTCCATAATTCCCTGTCAAGGGCCATGTCCTCAGTAATCCTAAGTCGCGCCATGTCCTGTCTGATCACCTCTCCCCAATACTTCTTAGGTCGCCCTCTACCTCTCCGCGTGCCCACTACAGCCAGTCGCTCACACCTCCTCACCGGTGCATCAGTGCTCCTCCTCTGAATGTGCCCGAACCATCTGAGTCTTACTTCCCGCATCTTGTCCTCCATGGGGGCCACGCCCACCTTCTCTCGAATATCTTCATTCCTAATCTTATCCATCCTTGTATGCCCGCACATCCACCTCAACATCCTCATCTCTGCTACTTTCATCTTCTGGATGTGTGAGTTCTTTACCGGCCAACATTCAGTTCCATATAACATGGCAGGCCTAACCACTGCTCTATAAAACTTACCTTTTAGTAACGGTGGCACTTTCTTGTCACACAAGACTCCCGACGCTAACCTCCACTTCATCCACCCCACCCCTATACGGTGTGTGACATCCTCGTCAAAGCCAAATAAAATTAAAATCTTCAAATAACTCAGACAGAATCAGCAAAGCTATAGCAACAAGTATAACTGACTCCTCCTCGAGAAAAGGAATCAAAGTGTAGATAAAGCTTGGAAATTCTTATGAATGTCAGGTGGGCAGTGAAAGAGGCCGGTAATAGCCCCAACAGCCATGACCCATGCACATAAGCCTGCAGTTCTTCTGGAGTTACTGACATTGTAACTGGCGAAAAGAACAATTTATTTTCCAAGTGTAGGGAAGGAATGGAATTGCCAACTCTGCAGTCTAAAACAAGAGAGCAACATGATATACAACCTCCACCACACCAAAAATTTTCATAGTTTGGAACTTTAGTAAGTCCAATAGTATTTTTTTTTTGTAGTATATCAAATTGTAGCCATTATTCAAAAATAAGGTGGTTCATACTGAAAATATACGAGCTAAAATACTGGGAAATATAAGAGAAAAAAGGAAACAAATCTAGATCAAATGGATAGGATAAACCAATTAAAGAAGTGACTGAGGAACACCTTACAAGAGGAAATCATGAGAAAACAAATTAATATATACCAAAGTAGCACCAGCACATATGAAGTTGACTATAGAGAAGTACTCGGTGCTCGAGAGGTACTAAGAAACTTTCTGCAATCATTTGTACGTGGAACACACCAATATGGTGTTGTTACTTAAAACAGGAACAGTTGTTTCAGATTAGAATGCGTAAGATGGTCAAAAGCTAGAGGAGAAAAGCTGCAGCTTCAGAACTACTGATTCATGCCACTTATGCTTAGTGCAGTAAGAGGTTTCGGATAATAGGGAACTCTTGTCATAATGCCATACCAAAAGACATAACAAGAAGTGAAAATAAATCCAAGTGTAACAATAACTAGACATGGGCAAAAATTGTGTGTCATTCTAACCACAACCCCTCGCCTCCAAAAAATAAAATAACACTCCACCATTCTTGTCAGAAAATGGAGCTGGAAAAAACTAGGAAAAGATAAACAAGGAAAATATGGAAGAAACAAAATAATCAAGCCTTTTCTGTTTCCCGTCATATTGCGTTATTATGTCAACAAAGTTTGAAAGAAAACTTTTTGTAAGGAACAATAATAGCTCTCTTAAAATTTTTTAGAGATTACACAGGTATTTTTTTCTAAATGAGCAAAATTATCAAATATTTATTGAGATTACACATATATATATTATCTTTACTACATGAACAAAATTATCAGAAATTACAAAAGAATGTTATGTATCATGCAAAATTACCATGAATCTGTCCAGTTCCTCCTCCCAAAAATGCTGGTTAGAGCAGCTTCAGTAAAATCTCTATGCTAATTCTCTAGTCCAAGTTACAAGGTCTGAAACAGGGTTAGTGAAGGTAAAAGGTGGAGGCACCTGCAAACTTTACAACTTCAACACGGCCATGCAAATCAGGCTCAGAAAGTTCTGGAAGGAAAGCGAAAATCACTGCACCATGAAACTGACAAGCAACCTTATCCAGGTGATAGACTCTCTGTTCCCCTCCTGTTCCATCGCTGGAAAAGAGATCTCGTACCACTATGAAGATAGTCATTTAAGTTGTAGCCTGTAGACCTCATTCTTTCCAAAAGATCAACAGCATGCTGTGCTTTATCTTGAGAACGGAGAAGGGTCTGAAGCAATCTGTTGCAAATTCGTGGCATCAAGCGAACACCTCTCTCCACAGTATATAGGAAAACTTCGACTGCCTGATCCAAGTTTCCTTCCTCACAAAGACTATGAATCAACATTACACAACTTGGGGCTGAAATCGAGACACCAAATTCCTTAAGTAAAGAAAATATCTTCAAAGCATCACCTGGCTTGCGTGCCTGACACAACCCGATCAACCAAATGTTATAAGGTGATGAATTAAAGTCTTCCAGTTTTAGGTCCATCTCAAGTAATCCTCGAACTGCTTTTTCCAGATCACCTTTCTCTATATGTTTCTCAATTAACCCTATCATCTCACTCTCTCGAACAGCTTGGGTTTTCAAATACTTCAACCAAAGGCTAAACGCGATAGAGATCTTTCCCCTTCTACAGGACCAAGTCATAAGCGACTGGTAAACCTCTGCACTTGGCATGCACCCATTCTTGCTCATTTGATCAAGGAGTTTAAAAGCTTCCTCTTCCCTGTCAGCCCTTTGGAGACCGTCAATAAGTGTCCCATAAGTAATTGTATCGGGGAAATGCCCCTTGAGTTGAAGCTCTTCAAAAAGATTAAAAGCACCACTAATTTTTCCAGATTTGCATAATCCATTGATCAAAATATTATACGTAATTATATTTGGAACGACTCCACAATCAGCCAACTGCATAAGAAGCTTGTAAGCTTTAAGAATCTTACCTGATTCGCACAATTTCTCTACCATTTTTTGCAGGCTTGCACTGTCAAGGACTCGATCAGCACCTTGAGAGAGACGAAGAAACAATGAAGGGTTTTTACCTATCTCCATTTTGTAAAACATTAGGTGAGCCTCCTTAAGCTCACCAGCCTTACAAAGTCCATCAATGAGAGTATTGAAAGTTACAACGGAAGGAAAACATCCTAGCTTCTCCATCTCATTGAAGATTAGCCTAGCCTCCTCCACGAGGCCGTTTCTGCACATACCACAAATAAGAATAGAGTAAGTAAAGGTGTCTGGAAAGCAATCATTTTCCGATATTTCTAGCCGAAGCGACCGAGCTTGATCTAATAAACCCATATCACAAAATCCCTTGATTAGAGTATTATAACACTGAGTATCCGGTAGCACACCTCTCCCTGTCATATCTCTCAACAAACTCAATGCCTCTTTCACCCTACCGGCTCCAGATAAACCCCGAATCATAGTCGTGTACAATACAACATCCGGAACCACATTATTCTCAAACAATTTTTTAAAGACGGATTGTGCTTCATCAATTCTTTTAATTCTAACGAAACCATCAACCAAACATGTATACCCTTTTAGATCCACTAGATAACCTTCATTCTCGAAAGACTTAAGAAGTGCTTGTGCTTCATTAATTCTGCCTAGTTTACAAAATCCATTAAGCAAAGCATTGTATGTAACGAAATCCGGCCTACATCCTCTACTCTTCATCACATTAAGCAGCCTATAAGCATCATCCGCTCTCTTAGCTTGACACAACCCGGACAAAATAACTGTATATGTAATCTTACTAGGCAACACACCCCTCTCACTCATTTCATCAAACAGTTTAAGAGCATCATGAGTTTTCCTACTCTTACACAACCCATCAATCAAAATACTAAAAGTGGAACTATTGGGCCTCGAGTTCAACTTCAACATCACATTATACACAGCCAAAGCTAACAAGATCGCATCTTTTCGAACCATAATATGAAGAATCATATTGTAAGTAAATAAATCAGGCTTACATTCATAATCCTTCATTTTACCAAAAGCCTCAACAGCTTTTTCTGCTTTATTTACCTTCCAATAACCCCAAATCAACGCCCCAAAAGCGTCAGAACTTATAGATACCCCATTAACCTTAAGTTCATCTAGAACATTCCAGTATAAATCGAATCCACCTTCTTTTACAAGCATGTCCACGATTAAATTCTGCAAAACCCAGCTGCGAAATCGCTTTCTTTTTGCGGTCCAGATGAAAAATCGAAAGCCCAATTGAGGATTTTGATTTTGCCGCTGTTCTTCGAGAATTGACGATATAGTGTTGGGACATAGGAAATGAACTAATTTGTCGAGTGCTGGCTCCATTGGGTTTACTCTTTCGATTATGTTGAGGACCTTGTTTGACACGGACATTTCCCGAGAGGAACTGAATGATTTGGAAGAGATTGAACGAAAGAGTGGAGAATGTAAGAGTTTCATGGCTTGGAGAAAATGTAATGTTGACTTTCTGATACGGGTTTCCGGTGGCTGCGTGGGGGATTCATCGTTGGGCCATCAGGAAGGAGGTTTTAGTTGGTGTTTGTGGGGTTTATCTGGCGGTAAGCTGTAAGGTAGCGGCATGGTTTATTAGGATTCTCAGGCTTTGAGTAAAAAATAGCAACTGTGTCCCTCAGGTTTAGGAAATAGAATTTAAGCACCACTCCACTTTTGGAAATTCAAATGTAAAACTTTGTCCAGACGTTGTGATGTGATTTTTTTTCTGAGTCTCAACCCGTATCCATTTTGGAAACCAATTAATCCGCATTCATCCTAAGAAGCATAGGCTGATCCAGTATGGGTTTTGAATTCTACAACAACAATACAAATCCAAATCCAATATTTGAACATTATGAGTTGTGAATTCTATTTAAATGCTAATAACTAGGTTCTAAATTTAAAATTTATATATATTTTTAGAGAATTTTGTAACACAAATACATAATTTAGGACGAACCTAGCATGTTTTACGAACCCGTAAGTTGCCTTTTAGTTCCGCCCCTGCCGAGAAGTACTCACTAATAAAAATATCACGATATCTAGAGATCAAACTCGAAACCTCTTAGTAAGGACGAAAAATACGTATTATTTCACCACAACCTTCGATAAGTGCTCGTGTGCAAGGTCCGACTGAAGTCGGCTTTTTAAAATAAAATAAAAAAAGTAAATCAACTCATATCTTGTTATTTTTTTGATTTTTAGCTTTTTTGTTTTAATTTTCTTTAAATTTTTACAATCCATTTTCAACTAACTATGCTCTTAATTAAAATCAGTATTTTAAAAGGTATGGGTGAGAGATGAGACATTTTATCTAACACAGGGCGAGACGAAAGCTTTGAGGCAGGACGTAAGCCCCATAAGTATTTAATTTTAAATGTTATATGCTAACATACAGTGGCGAATCCAGGATTTGAAGGTCGTGGGTGCTCAATTTAATATAAATTTGTTACCAATCGAATAGTATAAGTACATAATTATTTAAATGCGACAATAAAAAACATTAATAAAAAAAATTACGACTAGTATTACCATTGTCAAAAAAGACTTCTACATGCAAGTTATAATGAACTACTAATAATATTATCATTATTAAAAAAAATTAGCCACAAGGTATAATTGTGCTTGACGTTTTTTCATACGTTGAAAATGATGAATAATAGCACCATTGCTTACAATTGCGAAAGCTTCGCTTATTTATTTTCACTTTTAAAGTACCCGAATTTTTTTTCCCTTTGAGCCACAAAAATTGTTAAGAGACAAAAAATATTAAGATTCTCTAGCTTTAATCAAATCTTAGTCTTACTTTTTCCCTTTTATGTGCCACAATGAGACAAACAAAGAAAAAAAAAACGTTAAAAAAAAAAAAGAACAAAAAGGAAATGTCAGCAATGGAAAGAATAAGGTTAGATTTGGAATTAGAGAAAGATGGGAAAATTGATGCTTTGTGGGAAAGTAGTGGAATTCGGCGTGGCTGGTTTTCTAACATAAAAGCAGCTAAATTTAAAATAAAAAAACTGCTTGACTTAAGAATCGAACTCAGGCACCCCTAGACGCAAGGCTTAATTTTCGCCATTGATCTAAAGCACCTAGGGATCTGACTATCAACGTTTATATGTTTGCTTACTAATATTCTATGTGACTATCATAGCTCACGTTGGGGTTAATGGGTGCTTGAGCACCATAAATTGATACGTAGATCCGTCCATGCTAACATGTACATGAATCAAACAAAAGAAATTTTTCTTTTACTTGAAAAGTGAAAAACGTATAGATACATTATACCTATAATTAACATGACTATGATAGAACATACTTAAGTTACAAAAATTATATTCTAGTTTCTAGTAATTCAAAGAATAAAAATAAAAGAAAGTTATTGTATTAAAATCCAAAAATTAGATAATATATCACAAATACTAATAAAAATAAAATAAAGTATCAGAAAAAAAAGTAATTAAAAGGAAAAGAAAAGAGATTCAAAATTACATTCTTCTTTTTTTTTTGCCTTTTAATTTCTTTTAATTAACTTTTTTTTTGCTTTTTAATTTCTTTTTTTTTTCAAATACCTTTTTTTACATTATTTATTTTTTATTTTCTTATTTCTCACTTCCCAACCTTTACTTCATGTGTTTCTACATAATTTCTCATATTTTATTTCTTTCTTAATTATTTTTTTATTACATTTAGCTATGTTATTATTCTATTTTTTCTGAAAATTATACCTTGTAATCTTAGAAAGAAAAAGTCATACACAAACTTGACTTATAATGAGTGATGTCATTATTGGATGAGGTTATATGCAAAATGATAAATTACTTTTTAATATTTAAATAATAGTCTCATTTTCTAACTTCTATTTTTTGTGATTCCATGTAGTTGTTTCAAATTATTTTTACTATTTTATTCATTTAGCATAATTATGTTAGTATTATTCTAGTTTTGGAACTACTCTACCTAATATTAGAAATAATAAAACATTAATAAACTTAGCATATAATGAGTGGTGTCATTAAAGTAAAATCTCATTGTTGAATGAGGTTATAAATTTATGTTTTCTTTTCCTTTTGAATTATATTTGCTTAAATTATGTTAAAACTTAGTTTATGTTATGTTATAATTTTACATAAGAGTATTATGTTAATTATTTTGGATTTTTAAATTTATGTTATATTTTCGCTTCCATTTTATTTGCTTTAGTAGTATTCATTTATTAATTCAGATTGCATGCCACTCATTTTTAAATAAGAATTGATAGATTATTTTTTCGTAAAATATTTGAGTAATGTATGACATTAATTTTATGAATATTAATTATTTTATCAAGCATACATTCCATGATGTTCTTACAAAATATGTACTTTTAGTTTTTATAATTGATTAAGTAAAATATTATTAATTTAAAAAATATATATATCAATTATTTTTACAATATTAGTTACAAATATATGATTAGCAATTAATATATTTCAAGAAACAATATCTACCTTTAATGTGTGGGATAATACTGGGTATGTTATTGTTGTAATATCTATCTTTAATGTCAAATGTAATATTATTTATAAAAACATATATTTGCTAAATGATAATAGATGAATTTAACTATATTCAGGCCCTAAATAACCGCCTTCTTGCATAGTGTTGATAATAAAAGTG